TGTTAGGATGAGTTTTATGATGAATTTGCGTGGATATCCATTCTTTTGAAAGACAATTATCAAATATTTTTTTTTGTTTCCTGTGCTGCGTGTGTGGTGCAGCGTGTTTCCGCTCTCTTCAGTAAAGTTTGTTCGTGGTTGATTGTGTGAGTTCTTGGGTTCTTGATACTGTAGTTTAGAACTAGATCTATGTGGTTTGGCTTCCGAAGTAATTGAGTCTCCAGTTTTCCTGTGTCCGTTCTGGTGATCAGCGCATTCAGGAATTATAATTCGTTGTTTAACTCCTTTTCCATCATGAATATTGTCATCAAAGACGTTGTTGATCAGATTGTAGGTGTTCTCCAGCTCGTTCCTTTTTATGATTACGAATGTATCAACATAACAGACCCACATTTCTGGCTTAATCACTGGTAAAATCGGAGCTTCTAGTCTATGCATCACGGCTTCTGCAATAAGTCCTGATCCTGTTGGTCCCATCGGTTTCTCCTTTGTATTTCAGCAGATTTTACCGTTCATTTGTAAATATGTTTTTAAATATAAATCATTGAGTCCTAGTAGACATTTGCTTTGAGGTTTCATGTACTATGGGAAATTTGTGTCACTGATGAGAAGCAAGGATAAAGTTCCCTCCGCTGAGCTTGATTCGGTCGAGGTGAATAAGGCTGTTACATTTAAATATATCATCAGCTCGCCGTTCTCGATTTGAGTCTCCTTGAGTTTATTCAAGAATAGTATGCGAGACTCAATGGAGTGGTTGAATGAATCCACTAAATGTTTAAGTACTGGTCCATCGAATTCCATTTTGCATTGATCTTCTTTTGAAATTTATCACGGTTTGACAAGCTTGTTTAAAGTCCTTGATTGGATTCGTATCCACTGGTTTATATACGCCTCTATCTTCAAACAGTTCCTCGCCTTTCATGATATATTCTCCCTTGTCCATATTTACTGTAGTATATCCTCTGTCCTCCCTAGTTCTGGTTTCCCTAGAGCTTTTCATTTTTGTTCAGTTAGTTAGGTTTTATCAGTCTCTCAATGAGTTAGTGATAGAAACAGCCGTCCAGTGCTTCCAGATTTCTAATGGCGGTCGAGCTAATTTCAGTTCGTTATTTCAACTATGAAAAACATCGAAACTGATCCAATTTATCAATAAGTCAGAAAAACCACAGACAAACATAGATTCAAGTATCAGATGAAAGGAGATTCAATCGAAATAAAATGTCAGACGGCGACAAGTTAAAGGTCAATAACGATTAATCAAGGTTGAGATTAACGGGAAAGCTACGTGTTAAATGTAGAAAAATCCGAACACTGTTTTTATCTGAAGTTTTTGCCGATGATTTTATTCAGAGAACAATGAAAACTCTACAATCAAACCAATCCGCTGAGAGGATGAAAATCCACCACAACGACAAATACCACTGATACTTATGACAAATCTTCAGATTTTTTCCATCACCTTTACCTGTTCTGAATATGACCCATTTTGTGTTTCACAACTGCGCCTAGTTTATTCTGATGATTTCAGATCAAATAATAAAGATATATAAGTAGTATATTAAATATATTAACTTATATGCTTGAAAGAATTAGAATTATACTTCACAATACTATTTGATAAGAAAAATGAACTATTAACAAATCTGTTTGTGAATTTAAAATCAGATTTTACAAGATACCGATAACTCAGAAATAAGGTCATTTATCGACAGACTGTAGTTGTATTTGCCCATCTGAGAATTTTAAAGTTCAAATGATGTTGTACATCTGGAGAGAATGATAGTATTTTTAGTCAAAACACTATTTACATACTGACCTGATAACTTTGTAGATGAGTGATTTTGAAGGAGATATTATGTCAACATTAACGTTATTTCGTTATGCCTATATAGAGAATTGTATTAGTGAAGAATGGTCAAAATTAAACACAATGCTTAAAATCTATCTATCTATCGGCAAAAATCACTACTATCATCTATAGTTCTCTATAGTTCTAATAATCAGTGATATTTTCAGAAGAATATTAAGTAAAATTATTTTCCTCAAGTTGTTTTTCTACTTGTCACCAACTATTTTATACAGATATTGATACTTTTCATTGATTTTTTACTTTTCTACCAATGCCTAATACCCCAATGAAGCATAGGCCTCCCACCAGTTTTTTCCAACCAGCTCTGTCCTGGGCTTCCATATCCACTTCTGTCCAAAATTTGTTCATTCTTCATGTGCCTTTCGCTATTTTTCGGCGTGATGTGTTCCTTGGCCTTGCTCTTTTCATTTGTCCGTGAGGGTTTTTCTTGTGACGCATCCGGGTACTTTTCGCAGTGTGTGTCCTATCCACTTCCACCACTTCTTCTTGATTTCTTCCTCAGATGGATTCTGGTTTGTTCTATCCTACAGTAGGTTGTTGCTGATGGCGTCTGGCCAACGAATCCGAAGTATTTTGCGTATACAGCTGTTAATTAACACCTGTATCCTATGGATGATGGCTTTTGTGGTTCTCCAAGTTTCCTCTGCAGACAGTTAAACTGTCTTGACATTTGTATTGAAAATCTTGATTTTGGTGTTGAGTGATATTTGTATGGAGTTACAGATATTTTTCAATCGAAGAAATGCATTGCCGACCTTCGACTTCTCATCTGCATCGGATCCACCTTTCTCGTCGATAATGCTACCCAGATATGTAAAGGTTTTCACTTCCTACAAGGCCAATCCATCAAGTGGTTTAATTGGCGTATTCTGTGTTGTATCGGAGAAGCTTACTTTTCCTTCTATGTGTGCTGCTTCTAAGGCTGCTGCTACGTTGGTCGTCTTCTCTTGCATTTGTTGCTGGGTGTGAGAGAGAAGAGCCAGATCATCTGCAAAGTCCAAATCATCCATTGGATACCGCGCTTTCCTCCAGACGTTGAAGTCTTCATAATCCAGTCGATCACCGGGGGGAAGAGAGAGGGTGAGAGTAAGCAACCTTGCCTGACACCGGTTTTCACCACGAACGGGTCTACTTTTCATTGATTAGCATGAATATTTTTGAAATTCAAACAAACCATTTCCACACAAGCTTATTCGAATGTACATATATTGGTAAATAATCCCCAAGCTATCAGCGATTCATGATACTTTTGCGTTTTTACATAAATCGGTTGATACTTTTGTATTCAAGCATCAAGCAAATTTAAATGAATTATTAAAGAATCCAGTTGAAAAACATTTTTAGTATCTCATTGATTTCATGTAAATCTTTAATTAAACTATATATATGTCCTTTTGCTAAAAAGTATATTTCCTCATCAAATTCTTGTGAATTTTCAACTGTTAGTAAATTCATTTAACACGGAATTAAACTTATGTGTAAATCAATATGGGTAAAATAATCATCATACATAATAAATAAAGAGTAAAATAAATAATTAAAATAGTAATTTTTCAATTACAGCTTTTGAGATTAGTGTTTTTACACATTGGAATCATCACTAAATCATTGTTAGACCATCATTAGAAACCTGGAAACACTGGACGGCCGTCACGTCCTGGTATAGGACTCGTCGACAACGCGCATCCACGACTCCTGTACCTTGAGGGATTCGAGCCCAGGACCTTCGGTCCCGTGGGTGGACGCCTAACCTATGCACCACTGGATTGACCTCCAGCGCTCCCAAGTTTCTGATGAAGGTCTAACAATGGTTGATTGATGAAGTCAATGTTTCAAAATAATAAGTCGCAATGAGTCAAGTGTAATGTGAATGTTTTAATTATCAAGTAAATTATAATACTAATAAAATAATTTCATATAATTAATGCTTCATTTTGAAGACAGTTGACAGATCAAAACATTCATTCAATAAGGCTAAAACTCATTAAATAACTTCTAACCTGTGAAACCATAGATATAATTTTTCCGAAAGGAAGGATTCATCAGTAAATTTAACAAAAGATATTTAAACAAACCTACAAGTTCTAAATCATATTTCGAAATCTTAATTCTGAATAGTTTGCTATTTATGTAATACATGAAGTAATTTGGCAAAGAAACACTTAATCTATAAATTTCTAGTCGCTTGGTTTTGACTAAGAGCTGACAAGGAAGGGAGTCATTTGAAAAAAACACATTTTGTGAACTGTGAGAAATAGTACTGTTGCTTAAACATAGATTAGAATCACTTATATAAATAAAAGACAAAAATTTCACCAAATAAAAATTCTCAGATGAAGAAACCTCTGAGACTGATAAAGAATTTCTAGGCATAATTTTAACTCAAGTCAATGAGACACGGATACATATGTATGGATCTTTCGAGCGAATATCAATCAGTCACACTGTTAGGTATTGATTTATTAAAACATTCAATTAAAATAATGGAAAAGAATATAAAGTCATCACGATTTTTCAAAATATTTGAGTAATTTTTAGAAAAAACATTTTCAATTATTGTCTAGAATCTAAATGCAAGTTCTACATTTAAGTTTTTCATCTAGGATCATGCAATGATTGACTAGGCAATTATTCTATTAGTCTGTCAAAACAGTATTGAGAAAAATGAAATGGAAGTTAACAGTTGATTGAACCTCATATATGTTTGATATCACCAGTTAAATGGTGACAAAATAATCAGGCAATAATATTATGAAGATGAGGAAAGTAAAAAATTTAGTGCGACTCGTGAATTGAGTGGAATCATGCATCAGATGTTAAGCCCGTATGAATTAACCCTTACATTCAATTTATCTTAAGTAATTGGCGTTAAACGTTGCAAAGCGTAGGCCAAGAATGAGATTACCACACAAAAAGTTGACACAATAGTAACACAGCTAGGGAGATTAGATTTTAGACTAGTTTATATATATATATATATATATATATATATATATATATATATGTTTTGGCGAGCTTTACAAACAGTTGAGGCAAAAGTTATATATTTAAAACCATCAAGGTTGATACTATTTTTGCATGATGTTTTGACGGTTTTGTAGTAACCAAATTTCAATTTATCAACCTCTAGGTATAGACGAAGTTCAATTAGTGTTGGATCCGCAAAGCTATGATTATTTGGTACCGAATCAAGGATTTATTGGTTTTCGTATTTTATTGCATGGTCATGGTGATTCTTTATGGTCTCTAATACCGACTGCTATTTATGCTGGTCCAACATTCCATACTATGTTACGTGCAGTTGGCCTTAAGAAGGTAAATGATATTTTATTAAACTACATGATCCTTTAAAAGTTTTATGGACATAACTCATTCATTATGAATTTATTCTTCACAGAGCTTAACAGTTTTGTTGTTGAGTTTTTCATTTCAAATTATCCTAATTATAAAACTTTAAAACAGTGTAATGTTTAAGAATTCTAGTGTACCTTTCTGTTGACTTTTCAAATGGTTGAATGGATGAATACAGTATTGTATGAAATAATTTAACTGTAAAAACAACATGTACAACGGATGATTCTTCCCTAGTGCAATATATTTCCTTATTGAATAAAAGCAATATCTCTACATGTGAATTTAAGAAATAGTCAATGCTTCTACAAAAATTAATTTTTACTTAGGGATATTATTATGTTCGTCACTAAGTATGCTTGAGGCTATTACGAGTTTACCTTAGTCGATAAACGCGAACGAGACTTTTACCAGCGTCCAGGTAGGCTAACTTGAATCCCAAACTGCAAAACAGAAGTCTTGATAAGCGTAGAAAGTATATTCTACAAACACCCAGCAATCACAATACGTCATAGAAACGTCCTTGAGACAGTTAAGAAAATAGCACACTAAAATACACATCAGCCAATCACAGCCAAGGATTTTCCTGGAGGGAATTTAAATCTCAAGGTCAACTGATCAGCCCATGCTGGCAAACGTGAAAACTAAAATAAGGCATTTATCAAGCGAGTTCTGGGGATATAACATCCCCAACAGATATTGTTTGCTGAGTAATTAATTAACTGATTTATAGTAAATGATGTTATTCTAAAAACACAAATCTCCAAGTTGTTCATTTCATACTAAAATTCCTTTTCAGTTCAAGTTTCAATTCTGTAACAATACATAGGGTTTAAAAACTATTCGTAAATGAAACATTAAATCGGACAAATATGAAGCACTTGTAAAAATTTAGTAATAACGATAAAATTACTCGCCTTAGCATTACTTTCATGTTACTCATTAGAATTATTTACGATTCGGTTAAAAGTACACGTTTAAAAAACAGGTGTCACTTTTACATAAATATTACTGATCTTCATGTAGATCATAAGTTAAACGATCACATTTTTTATATTCGTTTATTGAGTCCTGCATCTAATTTAAATGCACATAATTACTGCTAACTAATTTCCCCAAATATTTTCTATTGTTTTTTCATGATATAATTGTGAAAATCTTTGCTTTACATAGACATCGTGAATTGATCATCGTTAAACCACCATAAGAAACCTGAAAGCACTGAACGGCCATTTCGTCCTCGCGTGGGTCTCATCAATAGTGCTCATCCAGGAATCGAACCCACGACTTTCTGCTTTGCTCTCGAACTTTTAAACTCTGGACCAGTGTTGTGCAATAAATAATATTTTACTTATTTTAAATGAGACAAAAAATTACCAGACATAATTTTAGTTTGTAGCTACAAAAAAATCTTATTAGTTTGTACTTTATATAAGTGCAAATAATCTATTTTAGAATTGTTTTAGTTTATATAAAGCTTAATAATAAGATTTGTGAGTTTTTATTGATTGATAAATGAATTTTGAAGAGGAGAAAAAAAGGTATTGGTTACTTGATTTATGAATATGATTAATGGATTAAATTTAATTTCATCTACTTTCTTGTTGTTATAACATATTATATATAATTCAATTAATCTAAATTAGAATATGGTATATTTTTAGTTGAAAACAAAGTGACAATAACTGGTATGTAAACTTGAAAATATTAGAAATAATTGATATAAGTGTTCTCTATCAAATAATATGTATATTACCATTACTAAAATAAAAATACTATTTGTCAAAAAAAATAACATGGATTCTTATTATTCAAAATAAATGAAGGTAAGAAGTAAATTGAATGATAAGAAGAAGAGAGAAAGAATCAGCCTATCGTCGTTTCAAGTTAGCCTATTGAGAATAACTATAACTGTAGTCAATAGTTTTGTTGAAATTATACAAGGTTTTTAAATGAACAATAAAGTGTGATAATATTGAATGTCAGTTAACAGACTGAATGAAAATAACTGACATTTTAAATTGTTTCTATTTTGAGCTTATGTCAACTTAGAGATAAACTGAAGAGATTGTCTAGTAATTGATTTCTTGAGAAATTGTTTTAAAAGGGAAAATAGTTTAACCATCCACTTTTAAGGTTAAGCTACTTGCGATAAACCATGTGCATGGATTTTATGTGTAATTAAAATATGCACTAGTTAATTGATAGATTACTCCAAAAGATTCAATGATCATACACAACTGTGATACTGTGAATAATATTTCCTTGATTTGTATAACATTACATTTCAGGTATATAATGTTTTTGATCTATAAAATGTACTAATTTAGTTCGTTTTGAATTGTAAAGGTTCAGTTAAGAAAAACGGATGTAAGGAAACATGAATGTGAAGAAGCATCGAAGGAGAAACTTCAGGAGGAAAAGTGAAGTTTACTTCACATTTGAGACTCACTGTTAGCAACTTTTTAACCGGTGAAATCATGGAATTAAGGAATGTTTCTCTACACTTTGGTTCATGACATTCACTTAGTAAATGTCCAACTTTGATTCAGAAATAAAACAGAACGTTTTAAAGTTTCGAGATGACCAGGCTAACATTTAAACGCCATTTTAATTTCCATATGTTTGAACAATTTAAATAACAGTATGAGTACTATAAACTATCTCTAAGGAGAAAATCTGCTTCCATATTTATCTGCTAATATATCTTAAAATATGGTTAGACGAACATTCAGTTTCCTTATATTTTGAATTAAATTGTGAGTAAGTTTGATCCATAAATCGATTACAACCGGTGTTTATTTGGAAGCGTTTTTAAAAATCACATGTATAAACATCATTTGATAAACATTATTATCGATTCAGGTAATTTTTTTCTCATATTTTCGAGGAGAAAGGTGATTTAAGGAAACTTTCTAAAGAAAAGTTTGGTTGCATGTTATTTGAGACACCTATTGTACCCTTTTTTCAGTTAATCATTTGTAGCACCTCACATATATCTTGTACTTTTATCCTTGTTGAGCTTGTATGCGCATGTACGCTTGGACATTACTTGCCACCTACACATATAGTTATTTGACCAGCTGTATCGATTAACAGTTTGAATAATCCGATTTCAATATCGACTATACATTTTTGAATTAAATCCGATATTTTTATCGATCATAAAATAATTTGAGTAATAAAGAAATTATGGCAACGACACGTGTTCTCTCATAGCGATCATCAAGACAAAGATATACGGAAAATCGAAGATAACGAAAGTCTAACGCCACACATTCTTGACAATGTTACTGTGAATCAGTATAATAGAAAACTCAATTAAACTTTACTCTACACCGTGTAATGAGCCTTCACAATGAAATTCATTAATACATTTATTTCGTATAGAACATCTGACAACAGCAACAATAATTTAAGGCATAATTATAATTTATATTATTTTTCATTATATTGGATTAATTGTCATTTACATATCTTCATGTTGTCAACAGTAAATATCTTGTTTTATTTTTATTTATTTTTATTAAGAATAAGGAACCATATTACAATGAAAAGAAAAACAATGAACATTGTACTTTTTCTGTCTGTCACATAATTCATATTTTTATCTAGTGATTATTAATCAAGATGTTATGCATTGTATTTCAAAGTTTATTTAATTTTTTATTAAACTTATGTTGGCAAGTTCGCGTTTATCAAAGAAATATGTTTCTATTTTCCAAAAAAAACAAAGCGAAACAAGATTCTATCTCCACTAGTAATAATAATCATATATATTTATATTCATAGGCAGTTAGAAATTCATTTACTTAGTCTATAATTATATTCTGTACATCAAATTTTATTTTTTTTTTCAAACAGGTAGACTGTTTTCTTTCCGATGTACGCCTGTCATATTTTTTTCACGGCTTCTCTCCTGTCATTACAGAAGAAATGATTATCAGAATTTTTGACTGACTTTTGTTTTCTATTCTATTGTCCATCATTCTATCTGTACTAAAAACATTACTACCAACTGGAGTAAAAAAATTGTGTTAGGCTTCTTTTTTGCTATAAGAACTGTTGAAAATGTTAAAGCTATTGGAAGCTTGATTACAATTAGGAAGGTATTTGGATATATTAATATAAATATTGTTTACAGCACTTTCTCTAAAACGCTGGATTAGCTTGAGCCTTTGTAATTCACTCAGTTAGGTAGTATGAAACAATTATTTTTGTTTATATCAAATAGAAATAACTTTGTGGCTTAGTAATTATTACAATTATATTGTATAAGAACAATGTAAGCGATTAGTTATTCTTGTTAATATTTTGTAGAAAGTTCATTCCATAGTATATACACCTTAAACACAATCATATCAAATCAGCCGATAGACTCTGTTGTCTTCAAGAGACTAGACTGGTATTATCAACGAAAAAAGTAAGATTCGGAGATAAATGGGTGGAAGAATGGATTATCGTCGGTCGATTAGATTTTGCGTGTATGGAAACCATGTGAAAATCCTCAGGACTTTTGAATGATAAATCATTGCGTTGACCTTATTTATTTTCATATTGACTAATGCTTGAAGACCTTTATTTAAACAGCATCATCAGAAGTAGCTACCGCGTCGGTATGTAAATACTGCCTATTAAACTATAATGAAATATCTCTTCGTAGTTAATGATTTTCTCTGGATTTATAGATTTATTACAAAACTACTACATCGTGAGTGGATATTATTCTCATACTGCGATTCACTGACCTATCATTACAGTCTTTTTACTAATGTATTATACAAAATAAACAATCACTCAAATACAAATTATCGAATGGGGTTCTTACAGATAACTAGGTAAACTTAATGACAATACCTGGTATCAATACTATACTATTCTATGATTAATCATTGTGAATAATTTTTATATTGATTATTGTAAAGTTGGGTAATGATAAGTAAATTTATGTTTGTGTACAATAGTATTGATTTATTTATAAATATATATTGTATTTAAAAGAATCATCCACGTATGGTTTGCGTCATTAGCTTGATAGAATCAATAGACAATTAAAAATAGTAGTGGAGACTTGGAAATACACCGTTTCGATCATTTTTACTGCTTGTGCTTCATTCTTACTGATAAAATAACTGTAGGAAGAATCTTTTAAAAAAATTGATGACCTTCTGTGCAGATTATTATTTATCAAACAATCAACAAACTAATATTAAACCGAAAAAGTTGTCGATAAAAAACTGGATATCTATTCAACATGGAAAAGATTGGATGTATACGAAAAAAAAGTAACAGTTCTATTATATCTAATTTTCTTGGTTAATTAATTAGTATCACACGTAAAAAAAATTTTAAATCATACCTAAGCAAAAATAATTATCATTCAATTTTAGAAAATTCCAGTACACTCTTAATTTTTACCTCTACTCTACAATTTCTTTTGTTACCATAGTATCGGTTTCTTGTCTTTTTTCTATTGTCAGGATGCAACAAAAGGTATAGATGTATACTATACTGGTATTTGCATTTTTCTCTGACTTAGTATAGTATAGTAAATATATATATATATATATATATGTATATATATATATATATATATGTATAATGATGTAGAAGCCTATTATGAATCTGTTATATTTATATATATATATATATATACATCTATTAGACATAAGCTGATTTCCTGTACATGGAATAAAACTAGAGGTAAAGAGAAAAAAAAGGACACAAGATTACTAGAATATGATACAACAAAGTATACATATCCCATCTTGTATTAATAATAATAATAATAATAATAAAGTGAATAAACATTAAGCTTTACATTAACATAAGATTTTATAAGAAAAGACCAATGTGACACACTGAGAGAGAGAGAGATAATGGTAAGAATAGATATGTATATATATATATGTAATCTATGTATTACACTAATACAGCTGATAGTGTTCTGTGTTGCTTGTTCTTTTTTTAAAAAAAATAATAAAAAATAAAAACTACATTATAAATTACTAATATTCTTTTGACATTTTAACTGAAATTGAAAATTCCTGCCTTCGCTCGTATATATCAACCTATTTTTTTTTTGTGAACACTATTTTAACCTCCTTGTTTTTACTTTTTACTGTTTCTTTTTTTCTGTGTGTGTTAACATTTTTACTACAACATTAGACAAGTGTAGATAAATACACAAAAAAAAATATTGTACATTGTAAAAGTTAAACCCACTAATTTACATACGTAAGGTATATTTGATTTTATTGAATAATGCAGAGTAAATGAATTACAATTTTCTTTACTTATATTTTTTGTAAGGTAAGAAGAATAAGAATAAGTTGTATTCCAGTGATTAGTTAATTTCTTTTTATTATTATTATTATTATTATTGAAAATAAATATCATTATTGTTTGTTGCTTCCGATTTATAAGTTTCAATGAATTCATGTGACAATGACCACAGAATAATAATCATAATAATGATAATAATAATAATAATAATTATTGTAATAACACCGACATTGAATTATAAGAAAAAAGATGAAAATAAAAACGAACAAAATCATTCCTTTATTTTTGACATCAACTCCAGTGTGTAAACAAACCAAACCAGAATAAATAAACAAATAATAAAATCAAATGATTCACAACGACGACATGCAGCAACCACATTTTTTAATGTTGTATTGACTGTGCCCAAAATTTTTTTATTTTTATTTCTCTCTCTAACATTTCCGTTTGTGAATGTGTAATTTAAAACAAATATATATATATATATATATATATATATATATATATATATAAGTGAAAAAATTTCAGTTTATTTTTATGATATGTATGAAAATTCTCAATTATGTGTACATATATATGTAAGATTTCCAACAAAAAAGAAATTGAAAATTACACGGAATAATGATAAAAAAAGACTGTTATTAACCTGACAGTTTTGTCAGAATTTATTTATTATTCTAAAACTTATAATTTAAAGAAACCTTAATTCTACCAGGAACCCTGAAACTAAATGTTTTAACAATAATTTATCAAACTACTATTATGATTTTTTTTAATTACAGTGTTAATTTGAAAATTTTCTCTTTTAGAAATTTTCAAAAAATTTTTTCTTCTTCAATGTCTGTGTGTGTGTGTGTGGTTTTGCAAACACAGCGCTTTGCCTAATTCAAGTCTACATTATTTTTATTGTATTTCTGTTGCATTACTGTTGTTATTTTATAGATTTATAAACAACATTGTACAAGTCAATCAATCTGGTCTAGTTGTATGCATGAGTGTATGCAAGAAATGTTATTAGAAAAATGTCAATGTCAATTGCCAGGTTAGATTGTGTTTTTACTTTGTTTGGTCACATTTTCAAATTTGAATTTTTTTTGTGTTTAACTGGATTTGATTGTTTAATTATGGCCATTGTTATAATAATAATAATAACAATAGTGTTAATTTCATATTAAAGTAAAATTAAATTGTCAAGTGATAAGCTGGTTATAATTTAAAATTGTTTTAATTTAGTGTTTTCTAATTTCTATAGTGAAGAGATTTTAATCGATCACTAACTAACCTGTAGTATTAAAAATAAGCTATGATTCAAAAATACAACTGACATTAAACCGACCATGGTTTATTTTTTTTACCCCTTAGTATAGATGTCGAGAGTATGACCGGGAATATTAAAGAAACAATGATTGGTCTAAGTGCTATTTTAAATATGTGCTTATTTTGTTTGTTGGCACAATTTGTTTTTCCATCAAAATAATTATTTAATTGGTTGTAAATCATGATTCTATGCGAGATTTGATTAGTTGAATTCTATAAGAATTATTTAGTTTTGATTGGATGTAGAGTGTTTATTCTATACTAAGCGCATATTTTAGTTTTACTTCGATCTTGGCCAATTAATGTGATGCAAAATAGTAGAGAGAATAAGATGCAAAATGAATTTTTATGGCAAACTATAAAAAACTAGTATACTTTGCCTTTAAAAATGAGTTTTTGTCACCAGACGTTGGTCAAATCATTCGACTAATCATTTATCAACCGTATTTACAAGATCTTAAAGTTTCACAGAAATCGATAGACAATTCATATATATTCTTATAATTTATGAAGACATGTAGAGCTATTCCATACTAGTTTGTCATTATTTTGCAACATATAGTCAATCGGACATCATGCAAACAAATATTCTTTACACATTTGAAATCATCAATCAATCATTGTTAGACCACCATTAGAAAACACAAACCTCCAAAAACTCTGCTCGAAAAAATCGTTACAGTGCTCACTAGTGACTAGCTTCGTGAGGAAATTCTCGGAGTTCTAGTTGAGAAGACGTGACCAATGGAGTTCAACCCTGTCGGGTGTAGGCAGTAACTACCAAAGACAAATGGGTGAGGTCGCGAAAAATCCGTAGATTAATCAGAGTTAGACATTAACACCGTTGAATGCCGGCTCAGTCCGATGGTTAGGCGTTCACACACAATACCGAAGGTTTCGGGTTCGAATCCTGTGAGGTGCAGCAATCGGGGATGAGCACTGCTGATGAGTCCCATACCAGGACGAAACGGCCGTCCAGTGCTTCCATGTGTCTAATGATGGTCTAGCAATGATCGATTGATTTCAAATGTGTAAAAAAATACAAACCTCCAAAACTCTGCCGGAAAATATTCTTTAATATAAGAAACCATTTGAACTCTATTTTACACTCAACTAATTATAATGTCTGATAAAGAAGCAATGCTACATAGAAAATATACAGTTATCCTGTAGTATGAAACTGTTTTTTTTTATTTCTTGCTAAAGAATGTATGTAATCTCAGTCGATGTAATAGTGTTATTTTGAAAACACACATAAAATAACACTTATCCTCTTCATTAATGATCCCTTGCTCTTTGAAAGGTGGATGATTATTTCATTAGATACTGTCAGTATAACTAAAATAAACAAATAAATCACCTGTGACATTGAGCACATTTGTGCTTCAATCTGCCATAGTAATAGTTTGATTATTCGAACTCATTTTTATTAAAATGTTCATCATCGTATAAATTATTAGTTTTTATATTAGGATTAAACCCATCATAAACAGTAAGATCACTATTATTGGGCAAAAGGTTTAAGTAGTCCAGGAGGAAATGCGTGAAAAGTGTTCTGTGAGTAGGTGGGTGATAGCACTCAATTTTAAACACAGCGGGTCTTATGTTATTTTAGGAATGTAACTTTAACAAATTTTGTACAATTAATGTGAAATATACTTGTTCCTTGATAAGAAATATTAATTAAAGTCAGTCATTAACTTATAAGCGACCTGAGATTTGAGACACACGTACATCAATAAAAGGTTGTGAAAGTTATTGAACTTCACCGAAGTCAATAACCAACTGAAGTTAGACCACCATTAAAAACCTGGAAGTACTAGACAATCGTTTCATTTTTAGTAGCCAAGGATATTTTTATCAGATAATTTACGAACATCACTGTGCATAATTTACAACAGATGAGAAAGTGTTAAATTTACCTGACTTATATCGAACAGTTAATTTGTCAAATAGAAAGCATTAACTATGAAATCCTATAAAATATAAATATTTCAAACGCCATATTTCGTAAATTTCTCCCCGTCTGTTTCTACACTTACAAGTTCTCCACTTAACACTAGTGAATTTCTGTCATTTAATCAATAATGGTAATAATAATAATATTATTGATTTATCATGCGCTGTTAAATCATGTTTCTTCTCTTTTTGCATTTCTTGTCTTTGCATCATTTCATTCGTCAACTAACTCTCTTTCTCACCATCTCTCTCTTAAAAATGAAGTATTAATTATTGTTTCTCAAAAATTTTTCGCACTTTTGTAACTTGTTAATTTTGTTTCCGGTAAAGATTAACAGTTTCATTTGTCGTGTGTACTCTTGTTGAAATTAACATTTTGCTAAAACATTTTTCCGTTAAAAAATATTTTTTCACTTGATTGCATCTATATATATCTTTATGATAGATGATCAACTACGTATTGTAATGTGGATAGATTTCGACTTTAATTTAGACTTTTATATGGTTGTTATTCTCTTACAGTACGGCGAAAGTCAGTGATTAAGTCTATGGATCGGTAATAAATCTTATTAGTTTATGAAGCAAAAACCGTCTAGTAGACAAAATAAAAAAGTCGATAAAGAAAGTAAATGTTTGTATGCGATTAAAAATCAATCATTCGATTGTTGATTAAAAACTGAAGTGAAAAATATTATGGTTAGATGAGATATTCTACAGCAATGTTTTTCGTATTACATCATTCAACTAGTAATGTTTCATTCAATAGGTTCTCTAAATGTAATCAAGTAAAAATTTAGACTTATTCAAACGTTAACACGTTTCGTGACATATATATAATATTCTTAACAAAGTACTAACTTACTTATACCTGTTACCCCCAACTGGCCACCGACCAGTATTCTCCAAACAACTCTATCCCGGGCGTCCTTTTCCATTGTTTTACAATTTTTGTTCATTCTCCTCATGTCTTTCTCCATTTCTCGGCGTAATGTTTTCCTTGACCTTGAGGGTTCCAATAGAGGGCTTGTCTTGAGACTTAGTTGGGTGCTTTCCGCAGTGTATGTCCTATTCAGTTCCACCGCTTGTCCCTGATTTCCTCCTCCTCTGGAATCTAATTTGTCCTATCCCACAATAGGTTGTTGCTAATGGTGTCTGGCCAACGAATCCGAAGTATTTTGCGTAGAAAACTGTTAATAAATACTTGTATCTTATGGATGATGACTCTGGTAGTTCTCCAAGTTTCCGGTGCAGACAGTTGAACTGTCTTGACACTCGTATTGAAAGTCCTGATATTGGTGTTGATTGATATTCGTTTTTCAATTGTAGAAATGCAACCCTTGCTTTACGGATCCGCGCCCTCACATCTGTATCGAATCCACCTTGATTGTCGATGATGCTGCCGAGATATGTAAAGGTGTCAATGTCATTCAAGACATCTCCATGAAGAGTGATTTGCTTGGCGCATGTTGTGTTGCATCGCAGAGTCTTACTTTTCCCTTTATGTATGTGATACCTGCTGCTGAGGCTGCTGCTACATTATTATTGAAATTTTTAATAGTGACTAAGTGTAGTTAAATGCTTATTCTAAACATTTTTATGTGAGCGAAATTCTCCATTGTTTTACAGATTGTACTGTATTTGAAATGATGAAATGTGGTCTCACTATGAATTCAATGATTGGTGAGTTTACTACTGTTTTCCACATCAATAAACTTTAAGTGTTGATATGGTTTTTTAAAAAATACGTGTTAATTCTTTAAAAGTTTTAAAATTACATAATAATAATAGTAATAAAAATATGTAATTTAACAATCAATAAGTTCATGTAATTTTGAAAAGTGTAATTTGAAAGCATCGACTAAAAGTGAAGGTATTCATCTCTTATTTTATTTTAGTAAAATTGAAAGTCATTAAAGTAACGAGTGAAAATAAATGAATTATATCATTCAGATACTCTACATGCCTAAATTAAGCTTCTATTAATCAATTCTTTGATGTAATTTCCATTTTATTTACATTGTCTTACTTACTAACTTTATTAATACACTGCAACATCTCATTTTAGTTAACTACGGAAACGATTTCATGTTAGTCTGTTAACTAATGTCAATGATATGTATTCTCATATCCATTATGAACATTTATTTAGGTGTGTTAAATAGCTTGTCCAGATAATAATCAAGTTAAATACCACTTACTATTTTCCGAATGCGAATAAACGATAAATTTTATAAGTTATGCTCAGATCTGCTTTGATTAACGGTTATTTTTCCTGAATATGAACATTGAGTACTTAACTAATATTCGTTTGTCAATTGGTAAATCATACACTAGTTTTTACAAAGATTAAAAGCTCTATTTTCACAGATACGTTATTAAAAATGACAACAAGCTCTTTATGAGACTAATGACTTTAACAAGTTATTTTTAAATACTTTCTTCTATCAAGGAATAAAGCTGATGACATCTAGAAATTAGATTTAATATTTTTCAAATATCATGGAGGTATATTACGTAGTTATTGATATTTGAGTACACATTTTAAAAAAGATTTTAGGCTAAGCTGCTGAAACCTTGTATAGAATAACTTCAGAAATAAGTAAACCTAGTAGATTATATTTGTTTATCATTCAACAGTGGATCAATGCAAATTTCTATATCAAACGTCAAGCGAAGTAAAAATGTAATAACTTTAAGTTTATCTTATTTATGTGTTTACATGAGAAGCGAATATTAAATTTATCATCTACAGTTATTCCTCTACTCTGTAGTAACTATTATTACTGTGTTAGTGAATTCGCTTATTCTCTAATCTCGTAAATGACAAAGTGATGGTAAAATAGTATTTTCACTACTGGAGGACGTAAAAAGACTTCATTTAAATCCTCCTATTTTTTTTGATCAAATAAATTACCTTACATTATTATACAGAATATGGTTGAGGTTGAGGTTAAGCATAGATGCTTTAAGCACTCAGTCAGTCAGTTACAACGTAGAAGTTCGTACGTAAGCACATCAGTCCAGGTTGCCACACAACATTAGCACAGAGACGCAACTGTCAATTCAAATCCCATAGTGGTATAGATAGTAAAAGAATTACTGCTATTGAAGAGAATTAGGATTTGAAGATAATATTCAAGAAGTATAATTCAGTGAGATAAGTTTAGAAAGACAAAGGTAGAGGCGTTGAAGAATCCAGAAGATTAGGGTTTCAGAGGACACAGAGTGGATGCACCTGCGCCACTGCAAACGATTTTGAGCCATGTCATTCAACGTCTCTAACCATCAGTGACTTTCGTCTTGCGGACCCAACCAGGTAGTCTACATCTACCAACATGACTCAGTATTTTGTTAGCGTCTTCACCAAGTAAGACTATGTCATCGGCATATTCTAAGTCGATAAGCGATCCTCCTGGTAGAAGGTCCACCCATGAAAAATCTGACGAGGATAATGTTAACTCTAAAAGGATGTCTACGACAAAGTTGAACAGGAATGGAGATAGTGGACAGCCCTGATGGACACCATTTGAAGTAACTAATTCCAATTACAGTTCACCATAGGCTCTCACCCGACCAGTGGTTTTCGAGTAGAGAGCATGTATAAGGTTTATGTACTTTTTTGGTACACCTTTTAATGACAGACACTGCCACAGAACCTCATGATCAACACAGTCAAATGCCGCCTTTAGGTCCAGAAAGACAGCTTTTGTAGGACGCCTAACTGTGTGTCTGTGTTCCAGCACCTGCTGTAGAGTGAAAATGTTGTCTATACAGCCACGTTCAGATCGTATATCAGCCTGGTTTTCTCGAGTCTGCTCTTCACGAGCTCTAGTTAGGCATCTAAGTATAATCGAGGGCAATATTTTAGATACTGTATTAGTTAGACTTATTCCCCTGTGAATGTCACAAGAAGACTTTTGTCCTTTCTTATAGATTGGGACAATCAGTGATTGAGACCAGTCGGATGGGATTGCGTCCAGTTCCCAGATTCTACCTAAGATCTCAGTCAACCTAGCTGCTTAAACTAGACCATCATCCTTAAATATCTCAGGGGTCAGTCTATCAGGACCTGCAGCTCGTCCTCGCTTCAGATTTCCTAACGCTTTCTCAACTTCGTAAAGCCTAGGGGGACTTACGTCGATTAGCCATTCAGGATGACTGGGGATCGCGGGTAACTGAAGAGTGGCTCGAGGCCAGTTGAACTGATCCCTAAAGTGTTCTGCCCCGTCAGAAGTGCAGTCAGTGGGAGCATAGACATATACGACGAAGAGGCAACGACGAGTCTCTCTATCTTTCCGAATCCTTACTCTGCCGTTTAGTCGGACAGCGCACAAGCGACTATCTACTGGGATCCAGTCTAGGAGAGCTAGTTATGCCTTAGGACTCAGTGCTATACCTACACCAGCGAGACCCCTGGAAGCAGCATCCGAACTTTCAGATACACGAAGGGTAGATCTAGCTGCTTCCTTATCTTGATATTGTGAGGTCAAGTGAATGACGCCACTCGGATCCTGTATGCGAATTTCCAAGACGCAGCATAAATCCTTGCTAATGAAGCCTGTTGCCCTATTTGACACAATGTCCGTTCATTAAATGCTCCAACAAGTAGTTTAGAATGGGGTTCCAAGAGACCAGGAATAATTTTTCGAGGACTCGAATCGTTTTCAGCAGAGGTGCGGGGAGATAAAAGAGTAGAGTTAGTAGGGTTAGTCACGGAAATAAGAGAGACAATAGGGGGTGTAGGAAGGTTTTGATTACGACCCATTTGATCACATGCGCTGTTATGGGTATGAGGGTGGTTGTCACTTCCCGGCAGCCCACACTGTTGAAAGTTGTTTCTTGAGGAACCTGAAAAGGAAGGTAGGTTAGTGTCGGTCTTAGAGACCTGGGAGCGTGACCGCAGAGCCCAAGGGTCAACTGCTTGAGGACGGTCACACACGGCCTTTTTATGAGACGTTTTGAGAGTATTAGCCCCGCTCTTTTAAAGCCCTTTTTGGGCAGCATACCTCACGGCAGAAATCCGTGAGGTATGGTGAGTTGTGACATTTTTAGGGTCGATCTTTTTTAACCCTTCCTTCCTTGTGAGAAGGCAGCATCGCTGCAGATTCTGGTTGTCCGACAGAACACCCTACTGCCGTCACACCCCTCTACAGTCAGAAGTACGACTTCGCCCTCTGATCTTGAGTAGCTGCATTTAGTCTCATCGTTTTCCAATCGACCTACCTGGCATGGTAGAACCTTCAGGAACATATGTTTCAGTCAGTATAGCTCGGTTGGGTCATCACTATAAGCAAACCCGACCATCACGTCAAGGTAGTGGTCGGGACTTTAAGCGGTAACTGTTCTTTTTTATATAAAGCCCCCAATATGTCAAGAATTTAAAAATATTAAAAGATACAAACAAATGGTTAGAAGAAAAAGGTTCTTCAACAGCTTAAATTGTTCACGTACGCAGTCTACGGATATAGAGATAGATTGTTGAGATATTTTACTCATCGGCTAACATAACTAAGTTATCTGCAGACACTCATACATAGTATGCTTCATAAACATTTGAACTGCTTCTTTCATAATATGCCTACTTCTGTTTACTTATGGTCGCTTGGTTGGCTGAAATAGGTAGCTACCAATCATCATATAAGTTTATGTATAGCCAGCCATCTTTTGCAAATTTTCGTCAAATTTACCTACCAGACAGCTACGACTTAAAGAATAAAATATATTCACATATGAATAATGAATGATTTATCCACATATCCTTAGGTTTAAAAATGTTTGTCCGTATGTCATATTTTAATCTTGAATAATCTATTTTGAGTCCTGGTTTTTTAATGTGTATCATCGACAACTCCAACTAAAAATATATCCATTATTTTTAGAAAATATGAATTTCAACATTGTTTGACATTTCAAGCGTATAGGTAAAATATATATTCAATAAACAAAAGATAATTAGACTAATTTAAATAAAATTTCAAAACCAGTTACCTCGATTGTTGATGAATCCGGTGTATCAACGATTTCCACAGAAAAAGAATTCAATCAAGCTTGAACATATACATGAGATTAGTTTATCTGATAATTATCTGTTGATCAGCTTAACGTGTAGATGATAAAAGTCAAGTCCAAGGAATTTGTTTTCAAGCCAGAGGATTTATGGCGTAAGTAAGTGTAGAACTGACTTTTTGTTATCGAAAGCAATAGAATCGCTTAGACCAAATACTTGGTAATGGCATATTAATTAATTAAAAAAACTGTTTAAAAATCATTGTTTCCTCTTGTTTCCCATTTCTTGAATTTTATTCGGGGTACAAAAATGAGTCCCATTCCTTATGGTGGAACTTTCTGCGACAAAGCACCTGGAATGTTGAAGTAATTTATTATTTATTACTATTTGAATAAATTTCCATTGCTTTTTCTCTTCCTTGAGACTTGGACTTTGAGGGCTATCTTGAATTCAACTAAGTTTGTTAGTATTTCGAAGAGAGGCTGTACTAAAAATTTTGTAATGCTATTTTCCAGTTTTTCAGTGCGTTGTTAACTTCCGTTTCATTATGAATGACATCATAAGGTGATCTGACGCTGTATCAGCTCCATTCTTATTCTCACATCTTTCTTTGTCCTTCTGAACATCTTACTAATACAAGCATGATCAATCTTGTTCCTTTTCTATCGTGGTAAAGTGAATTCCGTGTGGCTTTGTGTATACAATATCTTCATACCCGGTGTTCTCCATTTTTATCTTGACGGTTACATCTCCTGTCAGGGTGGTAGGTCGTTTGCTAGGTATTTTTCATTATGGACCACTTATCTTTATTCTGTTTACTGCCATCACTGGTTGGCGCAAAGCATTTTATTATTTAGTCTTTAGCTCAATAAAGCTTTTACTTTTCCAGAGATTTTCAGGTAATATTTTTTTGTCTTAGTATAGTCGACCAACCGGTATGACATACTTTTCCGTTGTGTGTATAAATCAGACTTATTTGCTTTTAAAAAGTAAACATAATGTGTGGTCAAGTGGCAATGTAGTCGGCAAAGATAATGAGACTTATATAAATAATTTCTCTCTCTTTACTGCTGCTCTGTTTTGTGGCTGTTATTTATTAAATTCTATCAATGTGTTTTAGTTAGTTTAGCAATGTCTTGCACATTCTTTTTTGTAATAAAAAAATGTATCTAGTTTATTTAAAAAGAAAAGTTCCTTTTTCCTATTTACTACATAGAAATATTGGAATTTCCGTTGAAGCTCATTGTCCTTAGAAATGAGTTTTGCAGAAATCACATGAAATTTTATTCAAAATTTTAATTTGTTTAGTTATCCTACTTCGTTCATTTCTCTTTACTTTTTTTTGTTTCCAATATTCGCTTTATTTCGTATAATCGTACGATCATCTCATCACACCATAGAATCTCTATCACCAGTTCAATGTCGATGTCATAATCCTTGTGAAGCTATATCTTATTCCGTGGAATCTATAACACAAGCACTGAAATCACCATTATTATTTACACATTCTTTAAATCTATTTACTAAAATCAATGAAACCAACTTTGTATCAAATGCAAACTTTCAATTATCTACTGGCCAACAGTATTTAAATGATAAAACTCTGCCGCAAAATCAACATGTACCAATTGTTTCTGAAGAAAATGATGATTATGAGCATAATGATAACAAGAATAGCAATCATCATAATAACAAAAATGATCAAGAATTGAATTTAAGCCAACCGAAACAATTTTTGCACATGTATAAAAAAGAAATATGGGTAGGTTATGAAATTTTTTTTCTTCTTAGAAATTTATTTATTTAAACATTCATTGTTAAATAAAACCAAAATAGCAAATAAATCAATTTCTTATTTGATAAAAAAATTTATCAATTATTTATTGTCATTTTTTTGTTAATTAAATAAAATTAATTCACAATAATTAACCCTTTTTTTAAAATAATTATGTAGTAATCTTTGTCAATGAAATTAATTTTTATCAGTGTAGAGATCGATAGAGATTGGTGAATTTTTCACAGTATACTGTATCAGCTGATTACAGTTGGGCAATTATTCTAGACTAGTAAGAGTTGTACATTAATGCATAGATTTCAATAGTAGTCTATGATTAGACCCTGATTTACGCAATGAAATTGTTGTCCTTGGTTACAGGACTCTATCACCAGAGATGAAATTCAATGTATATAATTAGTTTTTCTTCTTTTTACGTTTAGAAAATTAGCAAATCAAAATGGTTAAATGTATCAGTATGCTGTGGGATTAGACACAGAAATCTTTATATTCAGTTTATTAGGGAAAAAAATCAAGGCATCAAAGGTCGTTTTTGTTGCATTGGTTCAAGATAAACACACATTTCGTACAGCTTTTCAGAAATCAGCATTTTTACTAGTGTAGTACAAAGGAGAAAATTAACCGAAATATTTATTGTAAAAACAAAAAATGAAATCCAGAATATTTTTAGAAACTAAATTTGTTTTTTTTACAACAAATACTTTGAAATATTGTTGAGGATGTTAGATCCCCAGAAATCGCTTGATAAATATCTTTATTTTAGATTTATTTCATGGACCGATCAGTTGACCTTGAGATCACATCCCTCACCAGGAAAATCGTTGGCTGTGATTGGTTACTGTGTTATTTTAGTGTGCTATTTTTGTGACTGTCACAGGAACGTCTCTATGGAGTATAAATAAACGCTATTTGAGTGCTTGGGTTCATTGTGTGCTAACTTAGTGTTTTTGTAGAATACACTTTCTACGCTATATCAAGACTTCTTGCTGGTACAATTGGGTCAAGGGATCATAGTAGCCTACCTGGATGCCAGTTCATTTTTTCTGCTTGTTATTCGACTAAGATGAACCCGTAATCGTTTAAGAATATCTAGAGACGAGCATAAAAAATATTGTCATTTTTTTGTTTTGTAATAAGTCAGTATTAATGTGAACATGAAGAAATAAGCGCTTGCATGTACTTGACGGATGATATAATTTTCACTTATGTTGAATTTAGATAATCTAAGCGTTTAGCATTCTTCATTTTGATCGTTACGTCATTACATTTGCAAAAGTTTTTAAATATTTCCGTATAATAAGACAAGGATCGTTAGAAAGTATATTTAATTGTCAACAATTGAAAAAGTTAATATAAATAAACTGCATAAACGTTAGACTGTAATCTACAGAAAAGTTAACTGTGTGGAATGAACAATTTCGGAACCAAACAGATAGTTTTCGCAAAATCTCTTGAATCAGTTAACAGTTAAATTTTCTTATTTTCTGTCTTCCAATTGCTTTTAGCCAAGCTTCATTGAAAAGAAAAATTCAAAATAATGTTTAGGTGTTTACTCTAACCAATTATATCCATACATATATAGACTTGAACAAGTAATTGTTTTAGGCGTTAAAAAAAATGAAATCTAAATCTGCTAAGTTCTCCGAAATGACCCTTTATGTACTTAAGGGTCATTAGTTCGGTAACCAGAAAAGGACTGATGTACTCAGCCTTTTCAACAAAACATCCATCTTATTCAAGTTTTAAAAAAAAAAACTTATTAAAGCAATAGTATGGAAAAAATAACACTAGGAAAATCAAAAATAGTGTTACATCAGCGATCATATATTTTTAATCTCCTGAACCATTTCACCACATGTCATACTCGATAAAAGTTCTCAAAAAATCATATCTTCACTCTGCTTATTTTCAAAATGAAACTATCTTGCTCACCTACTGATCACTGCAATAACTGAAATCTATAATGTACGATTGAAATTCTTTTCCGTAAGTTAAAAAAACATGCTGTCTATTGAGATAGATTGCTGTAAACTTGAAACAGTTTCATCCTTTACAAATTCATAATTGTTAATTTCTACATTTTGTACATGTTTTGTACTTGTAAATGTTCGTCCAGAAATCTTTAAATATCTCATTAATTGTAGTCTTCTAATTTATATTTAATCCAGCTGACCAAGATATTCTGCTCAGTTTTCAAAAAACGAAGAAAAATCACATCATACACAAATAGGTGTTTTGCCGTTTTTACACTACAATAATCCATACAATGCCTTTAGTCTGTTATCTTCAATCACCAAACACCTAATTTTCATATTCAAATTCATTAATTTATAACAATTATATTAACTTGGCATGAAGTTAAAAGTTAAACCAATGCAGCTTCATAAACATCAAGCTAATGAAATAGAAATGATGTTGAAATTGCGAATCTGCATAAGTTAGACAACCCCTTGAAAACCTGGAAGCATTGAATGGTCGTTTTGTTTTAGTATAGAGCTCCAAAGCATTGTCCACCCTCGATTCCATAATCAGAAATCAAACCTATGCCCATCGGTCTCATGAGTGAACACTCAACGTCTGGACCATTGGGCCGCAATCCACTGATGTACTAGTATAACTTCAATGGCTCCATGATATTACGTGACCGAAACTCATTGTCTTTAGTGAGTACTTTCCTCAAACCCAACATGGCTAACAATGCTTCAGGAAAAAAAACGAAAAGTATTATATCAGTTCTATGTTGTTAAATATATTTACAAAAACTGTGATATGCAATAGTTCTTAAGTACTTTGCATCAAAATTTAGGCCACCTGACTTATTAACTGATGTTCAGTATACATATAAGATGAAGAAATAAAAGATTAGTCTCTACTGTGTCAGTTATTTCGCAGGGTTTTACAAAATGGCTTTTCTTTTCGAAATGGGTGAATCATGGATTCAGGTCATCATGAAATCAATCCAATAATTACTTAATTTACTTCTAGTTCCCTAACAGCATTTTACTAATCTTGATTTATTGTTCGAATCATTTCGTACGTTCTCAAATTTTCTTTCCAGCCTGTAGATTTATAACTCAGTTCTAAGCACTCGATGACTTATACTCTAAAAGAAGATTATTATCTTTATAGTTAATTTTATTTTATGTAAAGATGAATAATTCTATATATATATATGCCTACTTTTACCTACACTGGCCCATAACTTATGTATAGCATTATTTTAAATATGTTTTTTTTTTCATTTCAGGAAGGCTTACTCCTTCAGACATGGGCATTTCTACGTGAAGCTAATCGTACAGCATTTGAACAACTAAGACAACTTTCTCGTCTTTTGCAAAGTTTAAATTTAGATTTACAAACAGTAGAACGTGCTGTACATAAAGTTCACAGAAAACATAGATTCACTGTAGAAGCCAATGATTTAATGCTTTGGGATAGTGAACGTCTGCCAACAAACAAACATTCATCAGATAGATCTAGTGGATTATGTATGGATAGTGAAGAACATTCTCGTATGCTGGAAAGAGTCAGTCGTTTAGGAAAAGAATTCGTTCGCCTTTTTAGACAAAGCATTTTATTTCGTGACATAACATTAGTCCCGGGACTGGATTTTCATATTCATCTTGTACGTTTGTTTTTTCTACACATTGTCGACCAATTGGATCGTCTTGCTAATCAATTATTACAAAACGACTTGTTTTCTGATGTGACAATGCTTGATTTACAACGTAAAACACATCAGTGCAAACAGACGAATAACCAATTTATTTACAATGATACTACTAGTTGGGAAAATCAGTTAGGTCAATCACATTTAACTGTTGCCAGTGAAGATATAGCCAGTCTTCAAGCTGTACTATTAGCTACCGATTCGCAATTCAAACAATTAAGAACAGTGTTTTCCAAGCTAGTTTTGGATAATCATGAATTAATTGAAACTGTTCCAATTAATCGAGCTAGTTTAAATGCTAAACCAGATAGTTTGATCAGGTAGGTAATCAAACACACACACATAAAAACCACATGGATTTCTTTTTACTTGAACAAATCTGAATTTTTAAGATGATTCTTTCAAGAAAACAACTATTGATCTATTATGATATTTATATAGTTACGGTGTTATTAGTTAGTAGGGCGATTCGATAAGATATTCAATCAGAAGTGAGAAATATATTATTTTCAAATCTGAACTGGTTGTCAAACATTTGATTATGTTACTGCCTCTATGTAAAGACTTTGAAACGACGAAATTTCATTGATTAAACTAATAGTGTCAAGACTGACCAATATAATCTAAACTCACTTACTTTGAGGACAATCAACTCATAATTTGCTATAACCAACAGTTTTTTGTCATTATTACCTACATAATTTTAATGAAGCAGACTATGAAAGTGTTGGGGATGTTAGATCCCCAGAACTCGCTTGATAAATGCCTTATTTTGGATTTCACGTTTGCCAGCATGGGCTGATCAGTTGATCCTGAGATTTCATTTCCCACCAGGAAAATCCTTGACTGTGATTGACTGCTGTGTATTTCAGTGAACTATTTTTGTGACTGTCTCAAGAAAGTTTCTATGATGTAAAAATAAACGAGAGTTGTGTGCTTGATTGTATTGTAGAATACACTTTCTACGCTTATCAAGACTTCTTTTTTGCAGTTTTTGGATCAAGGTAACCTACCTAGACGCTGGTAATTGTCTCGTTCGCGTTTATCGACTAACGTGAACTCGTAATAGCTTCAAGCGTACCTAGTGACGAACCTTATAAAAAAATTTGCAGGAACAATTTTTGTAGAGCATTTTTTAAGTTTGAAAAACAAACTCAATGAAGTTGGATAATTTGGCAGGCATTTTCAGTTCTCCACAATACTGAATACTAAACACTCTTATTTTGATGTATCAAAATAACTCGATTAAACATCAAACCACCATTTCTTTTACAAATAAATAATAAAAACAGATTAAATAACTGAAAATTATTTCAGAAAATTTATTCATATCTTGTAGAGTATTTTTAGAGAGAGAAAATAATTTTTATTAGCAATGTTGACAACTTGTATGCTGCTACTTCAATTAGGTTTGTGATTGTTCTTGTTTCTATAAACGTCTGATTAAACTGTTTTTAGTCTTTTGAGGAATTTTCCTCGTTCTCACTTCAAATTCAATTGTATTTTGCTGATATAATCTGTTCACTTGATCATGTTCGTTAATTAACTTACACGTTTGTTTCTTATACTCTCCTTCTTTCTTTTATTTTGTTCTTATACCTTGGGTGATACAAATCTAGCTCAGAAGAAGGGTGAGTAAATTGAATTTTTTTATTCATTTATTAAATTATTAGTTTTAATAATTGAAAACTTCTTTTTTGATTAATGCATTGCAAAATTCAAAAATTCAACTGTTGACAGGTTAATGTTAGTAAGACAATAAAAATAATTTGACAATAAACTATACACTGTGTCTTATGTCGTAAGTAAACATATCAATGCAGTTATAACAATACACAATGGATTCTTCAAAGTGTTTTTTAATTTCTTCATTGAAATTATTTTAGTTGTCTCTCTGCTGATAAATGTAAGTGGTATTTTATTGCTTTAACTTGTAACAATTATCTAGTTCATACAATTGCACATTTGAATCAAACCTGTCACATATGAATTCATTTTATTTCATTGTTTCCCATCAATTGCTTAAAAGAGTATTCTTATTAAAAATTGTAACACTGAGGTATTATATGGAGTAATCTCTCTTCCTATATATATATATATATATATATATATATATATATATATATATGTATATATATATATATCAGTAAATGTAAGGTCATAGAGAGATCGAATCCCGAAAAATCGTAAGGGCATTGAGCAATAACCACGTCGAATATGCGTAAAAATTGTACCGAATCGATTAGGTGAATAAACAGACAAATGAATGGATAATCTTACCGTTGATGACATAATTCAATTTTAGTAAAGACTGTCTACCAAAAACAAATACCTACATACCATAGCAATAGTATTAATGATAACTTCAGATGATAACAATAAAATGGTGCGAATTTACCGAAGTATCAACCAGCACAGATGTCAGCAACTACTGTGAAAATATGAAATAAGATGAATTTACATTATTATGTCTCAGTTATTGTACATTTATTTTAAATGACCTTACTTAAATTGCTATTCACATTTATGAGACAAATTTTATATTATGTACTATTGAAGCTCTCGAGCTCCTGGATATCCTTCAGAAAAGTCTACAGAGACCTAGAAACTTCAGGTATTGTTTCATTCGTTCAGTACTGAATAAAACTTTCGCAGAAAAATCTAGGAATCGCAAAAGCACACGTTATGATTCTGACTTGATACTTCACCACATGGCTACTACATTTTATATGGTTCCTGGACCTCTCAGAAGCCCAAGGTCATAAACGACTCTTGAAAATATTCTCATTCTTCTGCATATAAACTAACCTTGTAGTGAAGTTTCGTCCGAGTAGTCTCGCCTTTTCTGTTGTGTTCAGGTTGCAGTGTACATTAAGTCTGCGGTTATTAAAAGAAGATGGGAATTCAGATAGTGAGTTCATTTAACAGACTTATTAATAAGGCAAATATTATTCACATGGTTTGCCTAAGCTAGCAAAACAAAATGGAGTTACACTTACATAGTTCAGTCAAGTAGAGATGGAAGTATATTTAATATATTTTATCCTAATGAAGAAGCTTTTTCAATCGGTAAACATAGGTATGTGTGGTAAGAAATAGTAGCTTTTCCTCCTGAAGATATTCAAAATCAATATACATGAAAAAGATTTGATGAGTTCAACTTCCATTCAGCATAGATTGACGTTCTATACTCAGAATACAATAGAATGAAGTGACAACTAACGTATCTAATTTATTAAAAAAATCTATTGTTCACTGTCAGCATGAATTAAATTAGAGACATTATAAGTCAGTTTGATGAAGAAAATAATTAACTGCTTGATGCAAAAATTTCAGAGCATGACAGAAAAGTCACAAAGTCTTCAATTGTTTAAAGTTTCGTCCCCAATATTCATTTATTTTTTGACTTCGAAAAAAAAACGTAGACAGTTAATCGTTAAAAAAAACACTACTGAAAATTAAATCATAACATGGATCTTAATTGTGCTAAAATATCACTTGCATAGATTCAAATTTCTTTATATCATAATTACTGACAATATTTGTGCTAATTTTGGAGTTTACATATTAGCGACTGTTTAAGTTCACAAGCCTCGTTTTATAAGGAGTATCACTGGTTGAAATTAGGTGGTTGTAATTAAGTCAGCCGATGTTTAACCTCAACCTACAAAAATTAATAATTTCTATAAATGTTGCATAAGGTTAGTAACCGTAAACGATCCTTAGTGGCACTGAACTGATGAGCTTCTTTAGTTTGTGGTAAAACCTTAGTAAGAACATATTTACTATTGTTGATCTTACAGTAAATAACAGTCATGAGAAATATGACTACATATTTAGTGACTCCAGTGGGATGATAACCAGTAAAGAATCTATTCAATCAGTCCTTGTATGTGATAGATTGCCAAGGCGACTAAATATACAGGGGACTAACATAACATTCGAACTACACTTTAGCAAGGTGTAGAAGTATTTTATGTGACAGTGTAATACAATTAACTGAGATAGTAGAGAACATTTGTACCACAAGTGGATGATCATGCTGGAGTTCCGGTCTTTGAGCTGGATTTTTTGTTGTGAAGCTATCATTGTTCTTTTGAACAGAACCATCAGCATTAACTTCAGGTAAGACTGAAGTATGACATGGAGTTTGTCCTGTAGACCTCGGTATTGACTGGTTGTCAACAAGACGTTACAAGTCATACATGGAGAAATTCGAATACTTCATGTCTACCTGAAGTTTGTGTTGATGATGTTGTTTGTTCAGAAAGACAATGAAAGCTCCCAAACCAAAACATCCAGCCCAGAGAACGAATCGTCTGCATTGACTTTAACTACAAAATTTCATATCAAGAATAATGTCAATGAATGTAAATATAAACGAATGAATGTATGAAGTAGGCATGAAATATTATACTGTAAAATTACTGAACTTGTAGTAGACAGTTTTATTATTTATGGTCTCTATGAGAACATAGATTACTGCAACATTAAAAGCGCACGCAGAGAACAAAAGTCTATACAACACTTTTCTACTACTACTACTACTACTACTACTACTCCTGTTTTCGTTTATTTACTCTTTTTACTTACTATTTATGATAACTTTTCATCCGAAGTAGTTTTTTTCTCAATTAAAGTTTCGTGATTCAACATAAAAAGTTCTTCCTTAGTTACATGAGTAAACCATTCACTAAACTAATTTATTGAATGCTAATTTAATCTTAATCAGAATTTCCTTTTTCCTTAAGATGATAACGTGATATACGTTGAGGAAAAGTCGAAGAATAAAATAAAAGTTTCTAGTTAATGTATCACTAGTAAAACAGATTATTATCATTATTATTATTATTATTATTATTATTATTAGTGTCATTATCAATTTTCAGTTATTTTTTCTTCATCTTTTGCTGTAAATCTTTGCACATTCGAAATCATCAATCAATCATTTTTAGACCACTATCAGAAACCTGGAAGCACTGAAAGACGGCCGTTTCGTCCTGGTATGAGACTCATCAGCAGTGCGCATCCACGACTCCTGCACCTCTTAGGATTCGAACCTGAGACCTTCGGTATTGTGCGCGAACGCCTAACCAATGATTGATTGATGATTTCAAATGTGTAAAAACACAAACCTCCAAAAACTCTGCCCCAAAAATATAAATCTTTGTTTAGAGTAAAAGTTTTTATCTATTTATTTTTTTGATTCGTATCGCCATTTTTCCCCCCAATCCTCAATTGACGATTACTTTATGTTCGTTCTTTCTTACCATTTTTATTTTACTTCTCCGGTTTGCTTTTCTTTTCTTGTATATTTCACTGTGTGTGTTCAACTCGCAATATTCACGTTAATACGAATAAATTGTGTACGTGTCTATCTATATACATATGTGTATATCCTATGTAAAATGTGTATTTATACAACAAATTCACTATTCTATCATTCAACATTGTTCATTGCTGCACAAATCAATGACATCTTGTCTATAAATGCAATTAATTAATTAATTATTAATTCATTCATTCATTCATTCACACACACACACAAACACATTCAAATAAAAACCAAAATAGATTAGTCAGTATTACAATACAATTGACAAGGGATAAAAATCGTCTGATACGTTTAGAATCAGTACAAGCAATTTATAGTCCAATTGGTAAGTGTATTTTTTTTAAATTATTTATTTTATAATAATAGTATTGTCTTGATATTTATTTCTCTATTTGAACTAATCAGTTGTTTTTTTTTTAGCTTTTTTAAGGTAGTTTCATCAAGTATGCATATATATATATATATATATATTCATTTCTAAGTTGTTGTGTATTATAGATTTATCTCTAGTTTTGTATGTATGTTGGTGTACTTGTATTCTTGCCTTCAAATTATTCATTTATTGATTGTAGCTAAAATTAACTTTATTCAGTTAAATAAGTGTGAGTTAAGGGATTATTATTATTATTATTATTGTTATAATCTACTTTTTGTTTCTTTTTACATAAGTGAGTATTGTTTTAATTCAAAAGCTATTATCTCTTTATGATTTCCATTTGCGATTGACATACATAGAGATGTGTATATACCGGATAGTAGTTGTAAAGTTAATATGGGAAAATTTCAGCCAAATTAAAGATGTTTATTTTGTTAGCCGTGGATTAGGCGACTATTCAAATTGCTTTTGAGCGAGTGCTTAGTATAGAAGAAAATCATAAAAGCCTTCCCATTTACATATTCTTTGGCCTTTCTGGGGTATACCGAATTGAATTGAGTTCTTTTCTGAATAGTTTGAATGAAAAAATACTAACGAGCATCAAAGTAACTTTTCATCTGATTGCAGTTCATCTTAATCTTTTCACATTACGTTAGTTTTCTATCTCCTTTATTTACAATTATCACCTTATGTCTATCTGAACTTTTATTTAATTGATCTTTTATTAATCTTGATATAACACGCCTTAACAAGTGAATATGTGTGACCAGATTGTTCAAAGTGTGTAGCGCAAATACATCACATTTTTCAGATTGATTACGTCTTCTCACTGTTCTGTCAAAATTTATAAAAAGGAGCAATTGTTTTGAACCGTCTTTATCAAACAGTCAAAGTCATAAAAATAATTGTATAATGCCAGGATGATAGAAATACATGTTTATTTATCACTCAGAAAATGTTATGGTTTTTTCTGGAAATTCGTTACAAGATGCAGATTTTCTGTACCTCATTGGTTAGATGAGGTTGCCATGAGCTCATATAAAAAGTATTTTCACATGTTTGGTTCCTTAACTATACAATATTAAGAGTAGATTATAACCAATGTTCGTATATGATAGGAAATGATAAATATTTCTATTTCCGATATTTTCAATCAGGGTTATGGAGATTAGTGTTCTTTTGCACATTGAAATCATCGATCAATCATTGTTAGACCACCATTAGAAACCTGGAAGCGCTGAACGGCCGTTTCGTCCTGATATGGGACTCATCAGCAGTGCGCATCCACGACTCCTGCACGTCCCAGTATTCGTACCCGAGACACTCGGTATTGTGCGCGAACGCCTAACCATTGGACCAACGATGTTAATGTCTTACTCTGATTGATCAAGGGATTTCGCGCGACTTCACCCATTTGTCTTCGGTAGTTACTGCCTACACTCTACAGGGTTGAACATTTCTATTTTCAACATGCCAGGGATTGTTTCAGACGTTGTTTCTAAAAAGCAATTGAATAAAAGTAATGTGATGAACTAGGACATAGTGTAATGTGGTTTTTATTCTGGTTAGTAAATAACTGCAAACAATGAACAGCAATTAAATATTTGGAAGGATAAACATGTAAATTTTGATTAGCTCTAAATTTCTCAATTTGAAGCTATTTCAGTTTCTAGTGCCAATTTATCATACCTACTTAAAACAGAGCTCAGTGAGATGTCTGATTTTAATGTAACTAAAGTATTTCGATAATAATATTTACACAAAGTGAATTTCATTTAATACTTTATGTCTCATGTAAAAAATATTTTATTGTTGGTTTCAGTAATGATTCCTTAACTTGAATCTCTTTGCTTATTTAGCTGAACTATTGGATCTTATTGTATCTGGTCTGCTGCTTGCATTTCTATCAATATTCCTTTTAAATATTTGTGTTTCATCACAACCAACTAATTCAGATTCTCGTTATTCTGACTGTTGTTGTTGTTCAACATTCATTAATAAATCTACCGATTTCAAATCATGTGAATCACCGAAATTGATTAATCATACTAATTTACCAAGAAGTTCATATGTGAATTGTAATTCAGACAATGACAGTTCTAGTAAACATCCATCAAAACTTACTACAATGTCATATAAAAATTATAGTGATTTAATATCAGCTGATATCGCACAGAAAAAACCTACAATGAATTCAATTTATTTTTATGATTCTCATCAACAAGATGGTGGAGTTCCAATTTCAAATAAATGTATACTAGCTAGTTTACCAATTACCAATGTAAGTTAATTATTTTTAAATACCAATTCAACTAGTCAAATTTCTATTCGTTGTTTAAATCAAATCAACAGAAAAATGTATATTCAGTTCAGTTCAAAAAGAAAATTAAGAAATTTTCATAAGTACTGGATCGAAATACATGGATAACTTATTGCTATCTTTTAATGAACTCAGTGTACACCTTTACTCGGAAAACATTCAATATGATTTAATCAGTACCCCCTAGGTATTTGAAGTTGTATAAAAATGTTTAAGATGTTTCTAGAACATAAAGTCGAATATCTGCGAACATCTAGTGAATTATAATGTACTATAATGTAGTCTATTGTTCATCAGATGCAACTTTTGTCAATCCTTAATTTTACTAAGAAATATTAATGGTATCCGATTTTTTTTTGAAAGTTATATCAACAATTGGTTTTTAAATTTTCAGTTTGTTTGAATTAGATCATTTTATTCTAACCGATTATTAAAACGTTGTTTAATATCATAGCGATCGTGAATAGTTTAGAGGAATGTTAAAATGTTCACTTGTAGTGCCTCCACATATATTCCAGTTCGCATACATCTAATTTGGTTAAGCCCTTTCGAATAATTTATTTAACCAAGCCATTTGTATTGCAACAATTTATATGTACCATTCGTTCTTATTATTGTCTGGTTTGTATGAGCTCACATGACGTGTCATTTGACCTTGTCAATCATTCGTCGCTTTGTTCACGTGTGCGTAATTCGCTTGTCGCATGTCTGTCTTATATTTGTCTGACTATATATTCTTAGTCATGCTCTACCTCTAGGATTTGGCTCACTAGCCTTCTCCATATCGCTTCATACGATTCACTCCAGTTACTCATTCGCTCTCCAGTGTACACAATCTGGTGAGCCCGCCGTTGAATCTAACGTACTCATCACACTTGTCTTCGGCTATCATTAATTGTTTAAATAGTACAGTTGCCTAGCAGATATGTAATGAATTAAGGAATGGTAATATGAAAAGTATACATTATATAATAGCTAGTTAAAAATAGCTCATTTAAGAGTAGTATTTCATCATTTCTCTGAAACTATAACTCCTTTATTTATCGATAGCTGAGCTGCCATATAACCTCAGAAAATATGAGTGATAACAAATCTGAGATGGTGGAGAATATTCGTAGCTCAGGTGGATGGTTGTGGTGGTGTTTCGTTCTCTGAGCTGGATGTTTTGGTTGGATAATAAAATCTGTTATTATGATGAAAAACTGTGTTGTATTTATTAGAAATATTTTCACTTAAGATCAATGTTTATTTTTGTTCTTACCAGCGCTTGTCTTCAATTAGAGAAGAAAATTTCATTACAACCTGTAACTTAGTGAGCTTATTTCACTGGTGTCATTATTTTTATTGCTATACAAGCTTAAGTTTTAAAATCCAGCGTCAAGTGAGTAAAACCAGGTTTGAAGGTGCAACAATGAAAAATGATAGGACTTTAGTTCATATACCATAAACATTTGAATTGTATCCGAATCTCTAACAATTCTGTTAAGGTTTCATTCTCTTCATTAAGGTTCATTGCTTTCTACTAAAATGTAGAATATAAATTGTGATAAATGATATGGCATAAGAGTAAATCAACTAATTCAACTGAATAGTTAATCATATTTTACAGTTTTCCTTTAAATAATATTTGATTGATATTTTGCTGTCCACATCTGATTAATATACCATCATCTAAGTATATGTGCCGAAAAGTTACTTTAGGAAAACGTTGGGGACGTTAAATCCCCAGATCTCGCTTGATAATTTTGGATTTCATGTTTGCGAGCATAGGCTGATCAGCTGACCTTGAGATTTCATTTCTCACCAGGAGAATCCTTGGCTGTGATTGGTTGATGTGTCATTTTAGTATGCTATTTTTGTGACTCTCCTGAAGACGTTTCTATCATATTTAAATAAACGTAATTTGTGTGCTTGAGATCATAATGTTTGCTGGGTGTTTGTAGAATACACTTTCTACGCTATATAAAGACTTTTTCGTCAATTAGTTTGGGGCAGAGGATGAGAGTAGCCTACCTCGTCACTGGTTCATTGTCTTGTTCTAGTTTGTCGACTAAGGTGAACTCGTAATCGATTCAAGCATACCAAGTGACGAGCATAACAACAATCCTATAGATTTTCACAGCACAAATGTAATCTTGTTATGATTGTTTCTTATCCATTATTTGTTAATCATCAATTTGCTTACAGATAATTAGGGCTTCCTAACTACTCCGTTGCTTATTTAAATTATAAAAATTCCAACTAAATCCAAAGCATAAATAACTAAGTTATTGATTTGAATTATTGAACTACCATAATTGAATCTTCAAAAAACTATCGAAATATATGTTGATCGTCATTAAACGTCGGGCTAACATGGATTTTTGTATTACAGTGAATAAGCTTGTTGATTCCCTTAATGAATTTGATTCGATTTTATTTGTTGTCTTACTTAAAAACCTCTATCAAAGATTTTTTTGGTATAATTTTCATTAATAGAATAAACCATGTACAAAACGATTTGGTGAAACTTGTCTACACAGTTTCAATATATGTCCAAATGAATCAGCACAATATGTGACACACAATCTTTCGGTCCTACCGGAATCATCGATGACATTGCCAAAATGGGACAATAAAGTTCTGCAAATCGATGGAGATGCTTTTAATTGTATGAATGTATCTGATCATTCTACCGTTGAATGTGAAGTTGACCAGCCACTTGTGAACACAAGTAAGGAGTATTGAATTAACATTTTGATTACTAACTTCATTTTTATCCATGTAAATTATTTTGACTAGACAGTTTGCTTTATGCAGCTTTAATGTTGTCTTATCTTTAAGAATATGTTTTGCTGTTTAATTATAAGGTGCTGAATACAGATTCCTAGTGATTAACGAATTCGTTCAAAATATTTGCCACACTTCCACTGTTAATCAGTTTTAACCGGTGTAATTTTATTCTGTTTGACTTTTCATCCAATCTTTCTTATCAGTTTACAATGATATTTGAAATTTATCAAAATAGGATGCCAGTAAAAAATCAGTTTTTCTTCGTTTTTGGATTGAATAACAAAGCTCTTTCCTAGTATAAAAACTTTACTATACATTAATTTTTTGAAAATGACAATCACTGTTTGCTCGTTTAATAAAAATACCATTCAGTCTCGATTTGTCTTCGTGAAATTATAGAAATGACCTTTATTTTAAATAGCCAAAATATTATTATTTTTGAATTCATTTAAAAATAAAAGGAATCATTGAAGAAATTGGAAATAAATCTGATCAAAGATTAAAGATAATTACTGAAAATGTACATTATTTTTTTTTTTGAGAAAAAAACCGGAGGCGACGATAATATTATTTTTTTAGATTTCGTCTATTTTGACATTATCATTGCTGAAAATCTTTCTAATAAATAATACTACATATTCTTAAGCTTATCTAGTTGTTACATAAAGCTGACATTTATTAATCAGACATTGTAAGCAACAAGCAACCATGACAACATGTTTGCACTGGTAACGTGCATCAAACGGCACAATATATATACATAAATATATTATGTAATAAAGAAAATGTACAATTCATCATTGACCGGTCTGTCTTTTTGAAAGCATAAATTGTTTAGATAATGTGATAATTGAAAAAATCATTTCTTTTTTTCACCTACTAACGATTAAGTACAATGTTTCACAAAAATTTAAAAGTAGCCAACAAAAAATCATTTTAATTTAGTTTTATTAATGCAAAATGTAGTCGCAGTTTTTTTTTGTACAGTCCTAGTTGTTGTTATCATGTTGAAAATATGTTATAATGAAATTATAATTATATTTTAATAAAATTTCAAACTATTTTCCAAGTTAATATTCTGAAACTAGACATTTCACAGTACGTGTATGAGGGATCTTTTGTTTTCGAGTGTGTTAGGATATTCATTTAATATTATCCTACAAGAATTATTGGTCAATTCCTATTGGTTAATTGCTACTGGTCAATTTTATAGTCTTCCTAGATATCAACGTCAGGTACTCCAATGTTGTTTCATATTGGTCGTCCTGACTGTCGATGTCACAGACTTCGATGCTGTTTCCTATTTTACCTAAATGTATAAATACGTATTATCTGTAACGTTGTGTGACCCGGATCCGGATCCCTAGTCCGGGATCCTGATTCTCTTCTGGACTCGGACCTCATACTTTATGGATGCTTGTAGAATACGAGTTCTACTTCATATCAAGTCTTCTTCTTTTACTCAATGGGGGTTGGGACATTCGGATTAGAGTAGCATGTCATGTCGCCGGATCGTCGATCCTCGTCCACGTTTTCCGATTAAGGCAAAATCGTAATGATCAAAGCATATCAAATTGATAAATTTACGTTGCGTGTGTAACAGAGTGTTTGTTCCATCTTTTGAATTCAGAGGTATTTTTAAGCTGAGGTTAACTTTAGTTTTATTTTATTTGGTCGGCTGACATGATCAGAAGTAACAACAGTAACGACAAACCACTTACATTGAATATTTCATAAGAATGAAAACTTGAGGATAAAGGTAACTTTCATGTAGTTCTGTTTGAATAAGATACACCTAAAGAAGATTTTTTTCAAAAGATTCATCTGCATGCAAACACGCATAGACAAACTAACAAACAGCACTTTTGTTATATTGGCATTGAAATACCTTGAGCGGTAAAGAAATTTATAGATTAGCCCTGTGTGATATCTATATTTCATGCTAAACATTAAAGTTTTGGGAGTTACATATAACAAATCTGAAGCACAATTTTAAAAAAGACAACAATTAATAGTTCGTTGAATTCATTTTTCTGCTTTCTTTTGTGAAAAAAATTATAAATCTGATATATACAAATCTTATCTACCTTTCATTCAATATTTTATCAGGTTTATTCATATGTGTTTGAAGATATATCGCTTAAAAGTACATATTTTGACATGCAGATTTACTTTGAAGTTATTCATTTACTTGTTAATACTCATGTTTACTAAATATCAAAAAGAATATATAAGAATTTCTTGTATCTGTCAGCCTTTATAGTTTTTTTGATACTGTAGTTAACAACTAATACTGTTAAATGCAGCTTGTGACGTAAGATGATTTCAGGACTTAAGTTTCCTACTAATCGGCACTCACTAGCAAATATTCTTAAAACTTTTAGGAAACTGATGTTCCCTATATGCTTGGAATTTCTGGCATTCGGCTTTACACTGAGATGTTAGGCTTAAGTCATTCAGGGAGTGGATCTCACTGAGGACTCTGGTTCACTCAAGTTACAGTTATGTCTTCTGACGATTGTCAACAAACACAATACTTTAGTTCATGTTTTCATGTTGACTGTGTTTAGTCACTTTACATTAAAACATGGTGCATACGACTTCAGGTTATCAGGACTAGTGACCATGTTGCACATCGGTACAGAGAGTTTGACCTACAAAATGACCAGACAAGCACAAAACTGATCATGACTCAGTGATCGATCAGTGTGAATATGGCTTGTGTTCTGACTATTATGTAAGACTGTTGAAATGAAGAAGATTATAGATAATATGAATTTAGCTCATATCCTTCTCTTTCAGTTTTAATTTTACTACTCCATTAGGATTATTCACTACAGGTTTTACAAACATTCATTTGTCCTAAAGTATCCTAAACCATCTAAGTTGGATTTTAGATTGCTCGGAAAACACAGGGCCCATGTAAGGGGAGTTCGATTTTCTCGACTAGCTTTGCAGTCATTCGAAAGAAAGTTATCTTAATATCTGATTCATAAGCAAGAAAATTTCAGATTATTTTCTGTTAATTACATTTCCACTGTATGTGTCTGCCAGCGTTAGCTCAAACAGTTAGTGGATGTCAATATGTGCTAAACTCTACCACACAACACTGATCAGGTTGCAATATTTTATCTGAAGGAAGCTTATTTTTGAAGTGATCGGTTGATCGAACGTCAGTAATGACTACGTGATTATAGTTCATCATGATATTATAGCGATTTGTTTTCATTGGTTTTATATATTAGTCGAAAGCTAACTATTGAAAAAAAACGCATTTTATGCACCAAACTAACAACAACTACTGAGTTTACTTACTGCCCATATATGATAAGAATCACAAACAAAAGTAATGATTATCACCTGAATTACTCGAGTATTTTTTCGATGATATCAACCTTTATTTGATAAGTAGAAGCTAAACATTTAAAGAAATAGAAAGCTAACTAGAAGTTTAAAATATTACATTACTGTTTTCGTGGTTTTTCCACAGTTAGAAGCATTTTTAATTTTGACGCTTGTAACATCAACTAATATTATCTAAATAATCATTTATGACTAAATCTTGATGGTTTCAAAATTCCTGTGAGCTGTGATCGATGAAGTTAGGCGGCTAATGGTTGTACATTAACATTAATCAACTTAATTTAGAAATCTAAGCCACCAGTTTAGAATAAAGACAGTCTATGAGAATTCTAATGGTTTTTCTGTCTGAGATAGATCATAATAAAACAATACAGCTCTCCAACACTTTATGATGTTCAAAAGATATCTAGCTAACATTAGTTCGTGACACAGAATATCGTAAAACTGAGAAGTATTTGTTGGGGACGTTAGATCCCTAGAATTCACTTGATAAAGATCCTAATTTTGGATTTCGTGTTTTCGCGCATACCACGCTTAGTTGACCTTCAGCCTACATTTCCCACTCGGAAGATCCCTTGACTGTTACTGGTAGATGTAATATTTTAGTACGTTATTGTTGTGGCTCTCCCTATGACGTTTTTATTATGTAGAAATAAACTCGATTTGTGTGCTCGTCAACCTCGACTTTTCTGGGTGCTTGTAGACTACACTTTCTACGCCATATCAAGGCTTTTTGATATCTTAAGCAGGGCCTGTCATGTCACTGTCTCAATGCTTTGCTCTCATTTACCGAATAAGGTGAACTCGTAATAGCATTCAATCATATTGATTGACGAGCATATCAGTGTTTGCCGTTTCTTGCTAAATAAAAACACTGGTTATTTTTCTATTTTCTTCATCAAATTAGATCATCATTATTCATGTCATCAAGAACAATCATTTCCACGACAACTACAACAACAAAGTCAACCAGTAAATCATCAACAAAATGGCGTCAATGAATCCTGTATTAATTTTTGTGATTGTTTCTATTCTATGGAAGATAATACACGAACAGATTCTACATCATACTTGAATTCAAATAAACTGCTATTTTGTACTAACCATTCAACTATTGGAAGGAATAGTTCCTCCAGTAGAAAATCAACTGATATTAATTATAATCCAAATGAAGCAGTGAATAGTTTAACTAGACCTTCACAACTACAAGAGACAACATTGCTGAATAAAAATACACCGAATATTTTATCGACACATCAATTGCCATTTAGTGTTGATTTACTTCAATCATCACAATTCTTAGATGATAAAACAACATTAGTTATAAATACTACGCATTAAAATAGACACTAGAATAGAGAGTATAATAGATAATTGGTAAGTTCAAGTTTTATGTATAAAGGAAGTTTTATCATTTCATGTGTAATTGTTGTTCACTGTCACTGACAAATAAAAAATCATATCAAAGGGATCACAGAAAAAGTCAACCACCTTTGACTTGCTTCTGCACACACAATGTCACTTATGATTATGCATTTTGTACGAATCATATCATATTCGATTTATTTATACCTTCATCTTTTAAATTTTGGTTGTCTCATCTTGTCAACTCGATCATGGTCTGTAAATTGACACGTATACCATAATCATCTTAAAATATAAATTCTAACTAAAAATTGATAATGACCTATGCATATGAAATAAAACTTCTAATAAAAAGGAATATTAAGAATAAGAAGATAAACTTATTAGTTTCATCATGTTATATATCAAGACTATCTTTTTAACGATTTATTTTCGAACAGGTTAGCTATTTTCTACTGTTCCAAAAACTGTAAGTGACTTAGTTAAGGATTAAGCGTTGTAAACTATGATAGTTTCTCACAAACTACAAACATTATTACTGAGTAATAATTTATCCTTAACCATTTATCTACTCTGTTTATTATTGAATATCAAATGTATGTTATCACTGATTCATTTTACATAAACCTGTGCTACGTGAAAATTTAACGCTTTTGCCCGTTCATTATTGGGTGTTAAAGTCGACTAACAGAATTTCGGAAGATTACTATACATTGAAGTAATTATAGTGACAGAAAGTTTTGATTAGATAGTTTAGTTTGAGAAATATATTTCTGTTTTTAACAAATGTCTTCAAACAGTATTGTGTGTGTAAACAGGTTACTGATTTTTCATTACTTACTCTATCATAGGTTATTGATCTAATACTATAAATATATAAAGTGTGTTAAATGAGCACCTACAGTGAATAGATGTGATAGTTTTTGATGTGACAAGGTTCAACTTAATCAATGTAATCCCCCTCATTGTAATTCAAGAGCTCATTTTACAATAGTGTTACAAAACTTACTTAGAGCATTCAAATTATAACTACGTATAGTTTTGAGGTTTGTCTAGATGAAAGCTCTCTCAAAAGTGTAGAGTAGCTTTCGTAATTGTTTATTGCTATAAATAGTATTCAAATTGTTTGCTTTATATAGGATTAGGGTTAGACAAATGTTATTGGTTTATCCCTTTAAACTGGATTATACTGGTTATGCGAAAATTCACTTCTCTTACAAACAACTAAATGTGTTACTTCAACACAATGAAATCATGAAGAGCAAAACTTCACTTATTATTATTATTATTTAACGAGTACAAGTGACTCTTTCACAAATTCATGCATTAATTTTCTCTAATTTTTAGTTAAGATGTAATCTGTTGCAAGTATATTTGTTATTTATGTGAATATAATTCAACATTTACATAGATTTATGTGGAAGTCAAGGTTAATGAATATTTTTTAAGATTATCAGATATTGTGGGTTTGAAACTTCAAAAACACACAAAAAACAATTCATTTATATTGGTTGTTTGAATCTCCCTGATAGATAGTTAGGACTGTGATTGATCATTCTCATTTGGCATATGTGCATCTTTTGTGAATTGCCTCAATATAAACATTAGGTTATAAGCATTATCAGCAGAACGATATTGTATTTGAATCTCTTGGTAAATATTAACTGTGGGATGTAGACACATCCAGCTGACGAGTTCCAAATAGGACGAAACGCGGTGTATTGAATTCCACTGCTAGCCACTATTTATCTCTGCTTATAATACACAGAGAATGTTATCAGGTAATGAGCAGTAGGAAACCTAGGCAAATTTATTTCTAATGAAATGTCGCACGGCCGGGTTACATAATTTGTATACAAGCTACATTTGAAAAAGCTTATCCAGTAATTATGAATAATAACAGTTTCATTACTTTGTAAGAATGTAAGACAAAAATATACCTTGAAAAATCTCTTTTAGACTATTTATTCTATGATAATGAATGGTGTTTTCGAAATTATCGATTTATCGAAAAAGCTAAATATTCATCAGTTAGATGATCAGACGACATCTCTTCTACTTGTTCCATTTTTGACTAATTTTGGGATTTGAATTTATCGCTGCTCACTGTATAAGCTGTCAGCATAATTGCTTTTTAACCCTTAAAAGGTAATCACTTAACTCTGATAATTATTTGACACTTCATGTGTAATAAATATATCTTGCCTGGAAGATGATCAAAACGGTATCATTCTGTTAGGATATTCACCAAAAATACTACGAAGAATCATTTGTAAGTGTAAATTCTATTTATTGGTAGATTCCTATTGGTCAATACGTATAATCTGTAACGTCTTATGACCTGGACCGGACCCGGATCCTCAGTCCGGGATCCCTGTCTTCTTCTGGACTTGGACCTCGTACTTTCCGGATGCTCGTAGAATGAAGGTTCTACTTCATATTAAGTCTTCTTTCACTCAATGAAGGTTGGGACACTCAGATTAGAGTAGCATGCCGCGTCGAAGGATCGTCGCTCTCGTTCATCGACTAAGGTAAACTCGTAATAATTCAAGCATATCAAAATGACGTGTTTACGTATATTCGTAACACATTCAACAATATTCATACACATATATCATTACACAAATGTTATTTTTATTCGTTAATACAAAACACAAAGTTAATTGTTTCTTTTTTTTAATGTTTAATCATTCTATTTTAGGTAAAGTTTCCCCTCCGAAAAAATAAAAAAATCAGAATAGAAAATATTCATCAGTTTATCATTGTGCATAATAATCCAAATCATTCAAATTGAATATATAGTAGAATTCTCTTTTATTTTCTCTTCATTTCCAGTGTGTATGTATCTTCATTAATTTTTTTTTGTATGGTGATACAGAGTTGGAATTTCAGTCAATAAAACATTAAATCAATAGATTTATTGGTCAACTTTTTTTTTTCAATTTGTATCTTTAGTCCATATCAGATTCCTTTTAGGACATTCATTTATACGTTGTGTTTAACATATTTTGAAAGTATAGAGAGACATTTAATTATTTGATTATTTGATTATTGCACTTGTTAAATCTCATCATCACCAATTGCACATATTACAGTTAATAGAGAAGAAAAAAAATAATTAAAGAAATTTTGTTTTTAATTCATGTGAAAATAAGGCGAAAAAGACAAAACAAAACCATTTGTATTTTGCCTTTCACTGCATATTGTATGACATGTTATACACGTTTTTTTTTTGTTTTCTAATTGTATAATAATAACTTCATCGAAAATAAATTGTTTTTTTTTAAAAAATTAAAAAAAAAGTTTATTGAATGAATGTTTGTTTTTTTTCTTCTGTAGAATGCAATAACATTGTAAAATTCTGTAGAATGATATTTTTTATAGTATAATTTAATAATATTGAAGTCATCATTTTCATTATAAGGATCAGCTATTTTTTAACGTAAACTGAATTAATAATGAAACTTTCATGATTTGTGTGTAGTTATTTACTTACGCATTTTATGCTTAGTGGAGCTTAAGTCACCGACTGGCATTCTTGAACCTACTCTGTTCAGAGTCGTCCTTTCTAGTTCTGTCAAACTGTTGTTCGTTTCTCTGATATCTGTATCCATTTCTTGGCGTAATGTTTTCCTTGGCCTTTCTCTTTTTCCTTTGAACTTGAGGGCTTGTCCTGTGACACACTTGCGTGCTTTCTTCAGTATGTGTTCTGTTCACATCCAGCGCTTTACTTAATTTCTTGCTCAGCTGGATTCTAGTTTGTTCTTTCCTACAGTAGGTTGTTGATGATGGTGTCTGACCAACAAATCCGAAGTATTTTACGTAGACGACTGTTAATAAACACTTCGTCTGGAGCACCTCTAGGGCTACTGCCAGTCCCAAGCCTGAATAGTGGAGGAGGTCTGGACATGGGGGTTTAGCGACCTAAAAACTAATTCGCTAAAAAACGCTAGCCAGAAATAAATTGAATATACATGTAACTTCGTATGACATAACTAAGTCTACTATTCATATAACTGATATTAGAAAAATGTATATCAATACAGATAATTATTATAATACTAAATAGTAACAACTTTTCGACAATAACATACATCCTAATTAAGCTCAGCATATAGACTTCAAGAGATGGATTTTCGCTAGCATTAGGATGAAGAACACGCGTTACGTCCTTTTTTAAACCTCATTAAATGGATAATGATATGTTCTACTGCTAGCCACAATAAATCTCTTCTATGAAACTTCAGATAGTATGGCTGTGCAGAGGCTAACCTTGTTGGATGAATATGTGTCAACTATGACTGACCGAAATTCAATCATGGTCACCAAATCTTTTGCAAATTAAATTAACTCGTAAAAATAACACAAATGACAAACATTAAAATCAACAAATAGGAGTTATCACAGTAATATCTATTGATTTTTTTCAAGAGAATGAATGATAGTGCACATGCTTTCGTAATGAGAATATAAATATTTGAATTTCTACCAATTGTTGGATCAGTCGACTGTTTAACACAGTATTTCTTGTTGACTGGATATTATTATTTTGATATAGCGAATTATAAAAAATGAAGATGATTTTAATTTTCTTGAACAACAGTGAGTTATGCAATCAAATAAGTTCACAGAATGCAAACATTGAAGTTTTGATCAAATCATAAAGCTTTTAACTTTTAACATATAATCATAAAACCTCATACTTGGGAATTTTTATTTAATCCTTAGAGTTTCCAATGAATGTGTATATTTTTGATATTGCAAGTTATATTTCGAGTGACAGATGAAATTGTTTTTATTTTCAAGTCGGGTGTGATATGTATTTATATCATGAGAAGGATTATAGAAGCGTAATTATATAACACGGTAAATACATGTTCACATAAAGTTCGTTCTGCCTGGAGTTTATTAACGAGTTGGTTCTCTACGGGATGAGGTCGCTAACACCATGCTTAACCGTCCTCCATTATCCGGGCTTGGGAGAGGTAGTAAACCCAGAAGGGCTTTAGGCGGAGTCATTGTGCCCAAAAATTTATGGAATTATTATTGTCAAATACAATTTAATTCACTTTATATGAACCTGACAGTCAATAAGTGATATGCTCGAAACTATTACGAGTTCACCTTACTCCGTAAACGGAACGAAGATCAATGATGCAGTAACACGATAGGCTATTCTAATCCGATTGTCCCAAGCCCTACTAACTAAAGTAAAAAGTCTTGATAAGGAGTAGATAATGTATTCTACAAGCATCCAGAAAATGCTAGGTTGTTAAACACACAGATCAAGTTTATTTTTACAATGATAGAAACGCTCTTGAAAGAGCCACAAAATAGCGTACTGAAATAATTCATTAACCAATGACAGTCAAGGATTTTCCGAAGCGCAAATGTAAGCTGAGGGTCAATTGGCGCGAAAACGTGGAAATCAGGACTTTTCCCAAGTGAATTCTGGTTGATCTAACATCTCCAATAATAAGTCAAATAAAAATTACTGTATTCATAAATCATTTTAATTTATTTTGCAAGTTCGATTAATCTTTATCATAAGCCTTTGATATTATATTTCGAGCCTTTCTTACTTTATTCAAGTTGCTGCTGTATAGATTTATCTAAAGGTTATTAGAAGCGGCTAGGACACTGAATCACAAGCATTTATTTATTTAGGATGTATCAATTTTCACTGAAATTAATATATATATATATATATATATATATATATTCTAAGTATATAAATAAATATCTGCTTTCGTTGCGTTGATCATTGTAGTGTTAAATTTTGACAAATTTTTTCCTTTTTTTTTCCTTTAAGTTATAAAGAAATTTCATAAATTTTTTTTGTTTCTTATCGATAAAATATATAATTCTAATTGCCAAAAAATATTCAAACGAAACTGTGTCGTTACAAAAAATCAATTAAATCATTTTGTTACATACATACATACAAACGTAGAAAAAAAATGGAAATAACAAACAGGAAAAATGTTTTTAATAAATTAATCGAGATTAATCATAACGAAATATAAATCGAAATGAAAGTGAATTTACCCGTAAAAATAACTTTTTTTAAAAGAAAAAATAATAAAACAATCAACAGTTTGATTTCTCTCTCCCTACCACCCACCAACCCAAACAAGTAGTATTCATTTCTAATGCAATTGAACTACTAAAATTTCAATTTATAGTGTTTTTTTTTATTTTACTTATGGAAAAATTAATTTTTACTGACCACAAAGTTTTTTTGTTTTTTAAGAAGTTTGATTTCATTGTAAGTATGCAGTGTATAAGTTATAAGAATAGATTATAAGTAGCTAGTTATGGAATAGGATGTATATTATCACCTTACAGTCTACTAATCAATAACTTCAGTTGACAGATCGTACTTATTTCAAAATACTACAACAACAACTTTTATTCAAGATAAACTAGTGAAAAGAAACTTAAGTAGTGGTAGTAGTAGTATTAGTAGTAGTAGTAGTAGTAGTAGAATATAAGTGGTACATATTTTAATTGCTTCATACTTTGGAATGTTGTTATTTATGAATGGAATAATAGTTTTAAATATAGCAGTTGACAATGAATGATCTCATACTCATGAAAGTAAAACATAATACCTTTGAAAAGAATTCTAATAGTCATGTGTAGTGCCTCCACATATATTTCAGTTCTCTTACATCTAACTTGGTTAAGCCCTTTCGATTAATTTATTTAACCAAGCCATTTGTATAGCAACAACTCATATGTACCATTGTTATTTTTTATTATCTGCTTTGTATGAGCTTATACGACTGAGCATTGCTTACGCTTACGCACTTACTCATCCTTTTCGCTTTAATGTTAATCTCGTAATATTCCCATGAACTCACATGATTTGTATCGTTTGCATTTGACCTTGTCAATCATTCGTCGCTTTTATTCATGTGTGTGCATACCTATTTCGCTTGTCATATGTCTGTCTTATTATTGTCTGACTATATATTCTTAGTCATGCTCTATCTCTTTGAGTTGGCTCACTAGCCTTCTCCAATTCGCTCCGCTCATTCGCTTGCATTGTAATCCAAAGAGTTGGCTCTTAGCCTTCTCCAATTCCATTTGTAGTGTGCCTCGAATAAACGTATACGATACTTGTAATTCATAACCGTCAGATGTTATTTGGATAAGGTAGTCTGAACGAGCTTATTACGAAACGTAAGAACACGCATTAAGCCGGCACACTACACATGTACAAAACAAGGCTGAATAGAAAAAGAGACTGATGTTAGTTAGTCATCGGTTAAAAGTATCCGTCAAACCAACAGCTAAAAATCCTAAACCTCTCTGCTTGAAACAATTACAAGCTAATCGTAATTCAGTGAACTAAATGACAACGTTCAGACACATGTGATGTTTAAATGTGTCTTGACATCAATAAGAAAGTTTAAATTCATTAGAAGAATTTCAAAAATCCTCTCGCAGTGAATAAATAATAGGCACTGCAGTGTTACAGTTGCATGAAATTATGCATAAAATTTAAAATAAACACACAAGATTATAATTTTCAATTAAGAATTTTATCAATTCTCCATGGCACAAACAAAAACAATGAAAAAACATCGATAGAGCCTGTAAATATTTATAAATACGAAACTGTGAAAATCAAGAAAAACATTGGCTTCAGAAGAAGGTAAAGATGAGATAAATTCGTAGAGATGTAAGTGTATGTTAATGAAAGATGTTAGGAAAATTGAAAAATACTAGAACAAAGAAAGCACATAAAACAAAGGACATACTGTACCTAATGATATTGACTGATTAGTTAGCAAAATAAATCAATTATATTAACGATAAAATATTAGTAAAATATGTTAAAAGAACAAAGAATCGCTTAACATAACCCGATAGCGTAATATAAGTAAGATGCATTGGAAATATATAAAATTTCAGGCAAAAATAAACGTGAGGTTAACAAATAACCAAATTGAAGTAAAACATATTAAACTACTTACAAGTAAACTAAATAAAAAAGTAAAAGATGAAAATGTGTCGCATAATTAATGTAAGTGAAAATCAGATAACCAAACAGAGACG